CAATAACCGTTTTGTTAACAGAGGTAGAAAATCGTAACCTCTTTAACTTTTCTCCTTTATCATTAATGTTTTAACTGATCACAGATGTAACTTACCTTGAATCTTTTGTTACATCTGTTCTCTACCTTTTCATATTCTTTGCCACAAGTCATCTCATATATTTATCACAACATACCCTCGTGTTTTTATCTCCCTTCATTCAATTTGTCAGTAATTTTACCTCACAACCAATCTTTACTAAATGCCAATTTTATCATGTAAGCTTTTGTTTATAAGTAATTAATGGACAAAAGTTCAAGTCAGTTGTTTCTGATATTCTCCTGAGTCTTTTCCAAACTATTTTTCCAATATTTCAACAATATTCTAGATGAGACGAACCTTGTCTATACTGATCTGCTAATTTCCTAAATATTCCTTGAACACGTCTGCCTTACCCACTGTGGAATGCCCTTATTCTTTTCTATCCTTTTATAACAATATCTATGGCATTTTTTTGTATTTTTTACGTTTTATTTTCCTCTATAAAGTCTTCTTGATCATAAATTTTATAATGGCCAAAATTGATGCAACCCATCTTATTTTATTTTTCATAATTTTATGTACCCCCTTAGTCCTCACAAATGCATCTTAAACCCCTTGATATTAGAAAGTATTTCTTGCTACTTTTGTGTATGATCATATTTAGAAGAGAGATTTGCAAAATACATATAGTTAATAAATACTTATAAGTATAGTACATAATTTTTAATTTACCCAACTCTACTTTTAAGATTGTTATTTCATGCAATTCTTTGGGATTTATTCACAGAGAATATATGTTTATCATGCATTTACTTTTGAGTCCTTTGGTTTAAAACTTTTCCGTACCTTAAGTAAGAAATTTGTGATGATATTTATAGATAGCTATCAGATGTTTTATTCTTGAACAGTTTTCTCCAAACATAACTTTTTGACATTAGGAAACCATTTAGTTTTCTTCTGACTGCTATAGGTGATACACTCATCACCTACATTATATTGATGTGGGTCAAAAATCAGCCACTAGGGCAATGATTAAGGCACGACCTCAAATTTTAGTTCTGTAGGTTTTTACTAATATGTCAGTGTGTTTTTATATATAGAGAGAGAGACAGATAGACAGATAGTTCAATTAGAGCAAATTTGGTCTTTGGGAAATATAGTGAAGTCGAGAATTATATTTTCTTTATATATTTTAAACATATATAGCAACGAAATATATAATTGTGCCCAGTCACCAAAATGTCCATGAATAATATGTCTTAATTAATATGTGCATTGGTGATTTGTACTAAATGAAAAATTAACCAGATATTTAATATAAATTAATTCCATGCTCAATTTTATTTTATTAAAATGAATTAATGTTATTTTTCACATGCATCGACAAATCAGTATAAACAGTTTTCAGAACTGTATTTGACTTTCAAAGTTGCTATATCTTTCAAGTTCTGTCTTTTTTATAAACCCTTCCTTAGGAAAGCACATTTACTCCTAAGGTCAGTGGTCGGCATTAAGTAATAATTCGCACACATTTCTTAGATGCTCTGAAATCCTTACATGAAGTCATTCCAAAATCATATGTTGTTAATGCAGTCAGTGTTCTGTACCCAGCACACGATAAGCTCTTGGTAAGTGTCAATTATTCTGCCGTTCATTCATGTATTATTATTAGTTTGGGAGAAATAAAGTTTGATGAATGAGCCCTCAGTTCCAGAAATTTATATTTAAATAAGGTAGAAAACCAAATAGAATGATCAACAAAATATGTTTTATTTGTGTAATGGAAATTCCTACTGATCCAAGATATTTATTTATTGATACCATAGATGGGTCTATCACACACTGTTTTGTAAAGTTCATGATATTTTATGTTTTCTTTGAAGATAGAAAGTAGGAAGCCATGAGGGGTTGTTTAAAAAAAGGAGGTTAGAACAGACAAAACAGTTTGGGCAAATGGACAGTGGTGGGCAAGTGTGAGTCAGCTGGAGAGGAGAGGAGAGAGAATGAATCCTCGGTGATCATAGCATTGGAAATGAGTAATAGCAAATAAACTTGGAAAAGCAATTGTCCTTCCAATTATAATTCATATGGTAAGGGACAAATTAAATCCATTCTGAAGATTTTTTAGAGTGAAATTAAACATAGTTTTAGAAATATATGCATGCAGTAGCCTGAGAAATACATTAGAGGGAAAAGAGATTAAAAAGGCAAAAGTGAGAAAAAGATATGCACTGGTAGATGAAATATATTAAATTAAAATTAATGAGTGCATGTATTTAAAAATTAAAAAAATGCATACAAGTAGTTTATATTGGCAATGCTTGGAAACTGATTGATGGTGACTAAAAATGGGATAGTGAACAGTGAGCAAATTTTGATTTTAGAGGAATGTGTTTGGTTTGCATATAGAAAATTCAAAATTAAAGTATGCTAATGTTAACTGCAGATTGTAGATTGCAAGATTAGATTTTGAGAAAGTACAGTTTTAGGGGATTATATCTTAAAGAAGAAAGTAAAGGGAAGAAAGAAGAGAGAAAACACATAATTATAATTTCCCCCCTTTTTTTCAAACTTGTAATATATTTTCTGCTTCCTTCCCTTCTATCCATAAACATTCTCAAGTCTTCTCAATTTATAAAAGCTATGCCCTACTGCCCAGAATTCTGGATTCCAGTAACCCTATACATCTTTTCAGATTCAGGCTTCTTGTAAGGGCAATCTCAAATTTCTTGGGTTCTGCATTTTGCCTCTGTTGACCTCATTCCACTTAAGCTGACTTCAAAAAGAAAATTAGTTACTTATTTAAAGGAAAAAGAAATCTGAATTTTCATTGGAATTGGCATTAATGGTTTATCTATAAGAAAAGCAGGCAAGGGAAAAAGAGAGTTTAGGTACTCTTACTCTCTTTTTCCCTTGCCTGCTTTTCTTATTCTTTCTGATTTGCACTTTTCTTTTTCTTTCTGAAACGTTAGATATATTTGAACATTTATTGAGCCTCTATAATATCACAACCATTCTCTGAGTATTGGTGAATTATGAATAAAAATAGGACCCAGGAAAGTCACGTAGCCCCTGCCCAAGTTTCCCAGAGAAGTTTCTGGAAAGGAGGAGGGAATTTAACAATTTAAGATGGAGAGTATGAGGAAACATGTTTTAAAGAGCTTAAACAGCATAATTACCAGTTTTTTTTTTTTTCCTCAATAAATATGTTGTTCCTTCCTCCTGTTCTTGATTACACATTTTATTTCTTTAAATACTTTCATCGTAGTTGTGTTATATCTTTAGCATAAAAATTATGTTAGTTGAAATCTCATGGGTTTATTTCTCCTATATGCTGTTTCAACTGACCCCTGCTTACGGGCCTTATTTCACCATGTGTTTTATAATGTCAGAATATACCCCTAGATTGAAGACAGCCTCATTTATAACATTATTGGCCAATATGGGCCTATGGTATGGTTCTTCTGAATGGTTTTTGTGATTGTTTTTGTCACTTAGCTGTGAGTCCTACATGTGAGACTGCTTTTTAGTTTTTCTCAAGTTGAGGTTTTCCAAAGCACACATGTCTATAATTAAAATCCCAAACATGGGATATGGCAGAACTTCTGGTTTATCTAATGAGAAACATTTTCCCCCTTCCCAGCTTGGGGGAGGCAGGTTTCCTTGTAATTTCCCTTCACCATTGGGTTGATTGATTTTATACCCTCCCTTGATTGTAAATCTTATTCCAGTCCAGTGTTGCCTGGTGTTCTTTTTTTGTTTTTGTTTTGTGAGACGGAATTTCACTCTTGTTGCCCAGGCTGGATTGCAGTGGCACTATCTCGGCTCACCGCAACCTCCGCCTTCTGGCTTCAAGCTCCTGCCTCAGGCTCTGCAGTAGCTGGGATTACAGGGTCCTGCCACCACACCCAGCTAATGTTTGTATTTTTAGTAGAGACGAGGTTTCACCATATTTGCCAGGCTGGTCTCGAACTCCTGACCTTGTGATCTGCCCTCCTCGGCCTCCCAAAGTGCTGGGATTACAGGCGTGGTCATTATCTGGCGTGCTATCACAGCTTGTTGTTCTGGGAACACTTGGATCCTATCTGTGTGTAGTCTGTGTTCACTGAAATAGGCGTTTTGGTTACTATGATCAATAAATTCCCAGTGCAGGTGTGTACTCTAGTTTCAGGTCTTCCTTTGTTTACCTCTTGCAGCTTTGTCACTTTGCCAAAAGCTCAGCTACATGCATTTGAGCGCATGGAAGGTGAGACGGAGTTTAGAAAGTAGTCATGCTCTCTTTTCTACCATATTGTTAGAAATACGTCAATTCATATTAAAATAACACTTTATCTTCTAAAATTCTAGATATTCAAGTATTTTATTTCAAATTTCACAAAAAAGATTATTGAAAATATCAGGCATCTCCTCTCTTTTATTGTCCTGGATCCTTCACTTAACTTATTGATCTTGCGAAAATCAGTACTTCTTCATCTTACTCTGTGCAGTGCTTTCTTTCCTTTGTATGCCTGCGTTCACAGACATTTTTTTAGTAGGTGTCTACATGTAGTTAATTGACATATGTGTGTGTGTTTGTGTGTGTGTGTGTAGTTGTTGTAATGATAGTATAGGATTTATGCAACCGTTGGGCAAACATTTATTTTTAGCTATTGCCCAATGTGCTTTCACATATAAGACCTAATCTCTGAATAAGGAATAGATTGTCTGAGTGTGAATTTGTTCATTTACCCTGACTAACCGAATATCAAACTATCATCTTGACTAAGTGCTGTATTTAGTCTGATTGTTAAATGCATAATAAAGTACCATGTATAATGATAGATCATGTTTTACAAAACTTGCGTTTTTCTTTATAGGTTATAAAAAATTTGGGGGAAATAATCAGTGTTTGGACCACGTGGTTTACACCTCATTCATTAAAATCTTACTACAAATCTTGTTTAAAAATCATCATTAATTGTTTCTCAATTTTTTTTCAGCTCTTCTTCAAGTGACAATTTCACTTAGCAAAGTAGAGCTTAGTGTGGGAGAATCTAAATTCTTCACATGTACAGGTATGTATTTCTATAAATATCTTCGGATAACTTGGTTTCTGTTAAAATATTAATAAAATACATTGGCTAAATTCAACTATTTAAAAACTCAATTCTCTAACAGTAACATCTTACGTTTTTTTGTTGTTGTTGTTTTTGAGACGGAGTCTCGCTCTGTCTCCCAGACTGGAGGGCAGTGGCGTCATCTCGTCTCACTGCAACCTCCCTCTCCTGGGTTCAAGCCATTCTCCTGCCTCAGCCTCCTGAGTAGCTGGGACTACAGGGGCACACCACCAGGCCTGGCTAATTTTTGTATTTTTGTATTTTTTTAAGTAAAGACGGGGTTTCACCATGTTAGCCAGGCTGGTCTCAAACTCCTGACCTCAAGTGATCTGCCCAATTTGGCCTCCCTAAGTGCTGGGATTACATTCTCCTGCCTCAGCCTCCTGAGTAGCTGGGACTACAGGTGTGCACCACCACGCCTGGCTAATTTTTGTATTATTGTATTTTTTTAGTAGAGACAGGGTTTCACCATGTTGGCCAGGCTGGTCTCAAACTCCTGACCTCAAGTGATCTGCCCACCTTGGCCTCCCTAAGTGCTGGGATTACAGGTGTGAGCCAGCGTACCTGGCCATCATTGGGTTTATAATGATTGGAAAAGTGTTAATAACCATAAATTGCATATTAAATGATACGAATTTTATTTTTGTTAATTTAATTTGTTAATTTAGACTGCTAATCTTGATCATTTATTTTGAAAATAACTTATGCATGCATTATATCTGATAATAACTTAAATCAATTTAAATATTATTTCTGTCTAAACACTAATATTAGGATGAATATAGAGATTATAACTGAACTATTTTTGTAAATATGCAATGAATAAATTTGGTATGGCACACTGCACTGTAGTTATACTTGAATGAAAATATTAGGCCAAAATTTATTCTAATATTCATTGACGAGACAGATAGTTATTTAGTCAGGAAAGCTTTGGCCAGATTTTTATGACAATGGAAAAAATCATATGTCATCATGCCTATAGCATATTTTATGGGCCTCATTCAGTATAATAATATACATACGGTGTCCTTTCAAAAGACATTTAAATATTTCAGCATCAAAGTTTAATTAAACATAGAACTGACAAATGAATACATTATTTATTTAGATTCAATGTATTCATTTTTACAAATACAAGTCATCATATCCAAACTGTGATATGCCTAAAGAATTTTTTAAACCTTAGTGCTAAAATTAGTTATAAGACTACTTTAGAATTGTTTCTAATCTTGATTACACTACAACTACTTAAAACTGGATTAAAATAGACACTAGAAACATAAAATGCATTATAAATATTGTCTTGAGGATGACGTGATTTATTTAAGCCAAGATTCAAATTTATAAATATAGAGAGATAGTTACAACATTTTATAAATCATATTCAGAGTATATATGTATAAAATATCACATTTTATAGAAACATTAATAGAGCCCATGATTCTTTATCCATTTTCCTTCTTAAAGGTGTGAATTGATAGTTATGTTAATACAAGTATTTGTATATTGACAAATGAAAAAATCAGAGAGTATGGAGGAGATTGATTCAGCATCTCATACGATGTCCGCAGAAATTTGACACAAGCATATAGGTCACTGTTTCTAAATCCCATCCGTATTTTATTAATATCTTCATAAATTATGACACACTGAATTCTATCACATAAAGATAGAATAATAAAATAGTTTAAAAATCAATTTTGAAAATACAATGAAATTGTACTTTTATGTATTTGTATATTTCTCTGAAATATGTTGTGTAGACTAATTGCCTGTATGTATTGCATAGCTCAAATTAAGACATGCTTTAAAAGTGAATTAAGGCCATTCATTGGTGATGAGTTTTGCTCTTAATAAGAATGTAAACTGAGTAAGCATTTATTTTCTTTTATATAAAAATGTATCACCTAGAGCTTTTCTATAGTATTGGAAATAGTCTTATTTATATTAAATATAGTAGTAAAACAAGACTCTAAAAATAAAAATATTGGAAAACCATGCAAGCCACTATGCTTGTATGTATTTTTCTGCTACAATGCTGACAACCTAGATATGCCTCCAAAATTTCCAGACGCCTTAAAAATACAGAATCTAAAACTCAATAAAGTAAACATCCTAAATTTAAACTAGAAGGATGTTATGCCCTCAAAGAGCTAAAGAAGTGTCATACAGAAAATTGTTGTAACTACATTTTAAGAAAGTAAAAAGTTTAATGCTATTTATAAATAATCTGTACAATAATCCAGCCTTATCAAAATGGAAAATTTTGATAGAAATTATTATTTGTTAGAGATACTTGAAAGAAAACAATTTTAACAGCTTTATGAAAATCCACAATAAACTGTCAATGAAAATGAAATTTATATTAAGAATGAGAAGGTCCAAAATATCAGAATATCCTGTTTAACTTGCTATATAAAGTATTATTTTGTATTATTCAAATGTAAAGAAGTACATATTTAAATTATTTTTTGTAACTTCTCCATAGATGGAGGAATTAAATAAAACACATCCCTCCCCTTCAAATGCATTACTGTGTAACAACTATGGTTTTATGATTTGTTTAGAAAAAACTGAAGATAACATAACTAAGATCTATTTAAGATTCACTAAACTTTCATACTTTTACTCAAGCATGTCTAATTTCTTATAGAAAGGAGGATAATTTGTTTCTAAAACTATTTCTTAGGAAAAATGAGAAGGGATAATTTTCTTCAAAGAGGTCCTGCAGATGTTAGTTGACTTTATACATTTCCCCACCGATACTTTTGAGTTAATAGTGTATGCTGCTTCCATAAATGCTATCTGAAGTAATTAGGTGAACTACATCCTTTTGGTGACTAAAAGCAGACACAGAAATCTTCAGCTTTTACGAAAGGATAGTAACCTAGATTCTGAATTGGAAAACTTAAATAAATGTTTACCCTGTAATGATTTGGTTATAATTACCTAGAAGTGTAAGTATCATTTTGATGCGTTGTAATTATCATACGATAAAGTAGTTAACAGTTTTAGATTAAAATAATGAAACTACTTATTTCTCTTGGGAAAAGAGATTAGGACATCATTATAAAAATGGTCATTGGCTTTATCTATTCAAGTTTAGCAACTAGGGAAATTAATTTCAAATTTAGTATTATCAAAGGCCAAAGTTTGTTTTGTGAAAGATTTACATTTTTTTAAGCTCGGCATTATCAGAGTTTTAAGTGCTATCTCCTGACCCTAGCAAAGACAATTGAGCAAATGAAATCGTATTAATAATTGTGGTTCTGTTCAGATACTATCTTTAAGTGGGTTTTATGCCTGGCTTGGTGGTCAAGGAAGTTTCAGAACTTAAATGTAATAATCCATTGATTACTAAGGGAAAATTTCAACAATCATAGCTTAAATACTACACAAGAAGTTTGCTGTGAAAGTTTTAGGTATTGCTTACTCAAGCGTGAATCCTCCATGTTGGTTAAACAAAGATGAACATTTGCACTAACGTTTGCATTTACTTTCAGTTTCGTAAGCTTCTCAGATTTCCAGTCTCTTACATAAATTTTTTCTAAATTGTTAATATTATTACATAATAGTAAATGCCAATGCTCAAACAAACATTTGCAACGTATTTTCAAACCTTTGTTTTCCATGGCTCTTTGCAGCGATTGGTGAACCTGAAAGTATAGATTGGTATAATCCTCAAGGAGAGAAGATAATTTCAACACAAAGGATAGTAGTGCAAAAGGAAGGTGTTAGGTCACGGTTAACCATCTACAATGCAAATATAGAAGATGCAGGGATATATCGTTGTCAAGCAACAGATGCCAAAGGACAGACACAAGAAGCTACAGTAGTTTTGGAAATTTACCGTAAGTCATGTGTTTTTATGTTTTAGTTTATTAAATTTCAGTTGCTTATAAATAATTGAAACAAAATAAAATGTTTGATAATAAAACTTAACACTTATTAAGAACTACATGCTTTAAAAATAAATGTCATTTATTTATGCTTTACTAGGCTGTATCTTAGACTACAATAGATAACAGATAATAAGTGGTTATAAACATATATATGGCATCAATTATATTAATAATATTAATAAAAATCTTTTCATTTTCTCAAGCCATTAAGAATTTACTGGGTATATAGATACTAGTGGTTTATTTAGTGGTATGATATTTATTCAGTGTTTTTTTTTTCACTGTAAAATAGAAAGTCATGATTAGAATAAATGAAAATGTGTGACAGCCCTGACCATTGTAGAATGAGAATCTGGGGAAGGGTGAGTGAACAGGAGTAGTCAGAAAGTTGAAACTAATCTAGTAGCCAATAATATTAAGCCAGGATTCTTTACCACTAAGTGTTTTTATGAGCAAAGTTTTCCACATTTGCACTTCTTTTTAGGTACTGGGATAGATTTCTTCCTATGTTCCTTTCTCTTTCTCATATTTAGGAATCATTAACCTGTTTAGCAACATTGAAATCTGTTGACTCCTGTATTTTAAAGCAAGATATTCCAATTACTTTTGTGACCTTGAGCAAATCATGTAACCTCTCTGTCTTTAGTTTCCTCATATATAAAATGAGGATAATAATGGTACCTGTGTGATATGTGGAGTTTGAGTACTACCTTAAATTATATTGCATAAAGTACTTACAACAATGTCTAACAATTAATAGGTAGTTAGCATTTCTACCAATGATAAATTATATATATATATATATTTGGAATGCAAGCCCTTAAATCGTCTCATATCTGTAGCTTTGTGTTTTGTTTATTATTCTAGAAATAGGATATGAAAAACAAAGTCAGAACATTCCTACAGTAGGACTTCCTGTTTGATGACCAGGGCAATTTGTGGGCACATTGTTGCTCTTGTGTTTCCTGGTTTGGAATTTTTCCCTCCCATTTGATTCTAAGCTTCTGAAGAAATGATATTGTCCTAATTTATGTAATCCCCTGGAGTATCTATTTCGCAATAGCAAATAATTAAATTGAAATGGCCATTTTATAGATATAGTGTTTGGAAATACTTTTATTATTTTAAATGATGCAAAAGAAGAATCCTGACATTTCATTTGTGAAGGTAAGCAACAAATTTTTGCAAGAACAATTCATTACTTCTATGAGAATTTCTCATCAAGCATAAATATCCATGTTCACTCATTCATTCATTCATTCATTCATTCAAGACACTTACTGGGTGTGTATACACTATAATTCTGAGTCCCAGCCAGAGACAGACAATAAATAAGCTGAAACAAATACACAGATGCTAGCTAAACATGCTATGGAATTCTATGGAAAATGAATTACGTGGAGTGGAAAGGTAAGGAACCTTGAAATGGAAAGGAATATTGCTATTTTATATAGGCAGGTTGGGTAAGAATCTGAATGAATTGAAGGGGGTGCAAATGCCCTGTGGTGAGAACAAACCTGGAATGTTCAAGGAACCTCCAAGAAGACAGTTTTCCTGGAGCAGAGTGACATGGAAGAGAGAGGAGAAATTGGGATTGGAGTTGAGGAGGTAGACTCCAGTTTATATAGAACCTCATATCGCATTGAAAGATCTTTGGATTTTATTCTCAGTGAGATAGGAAGGTATTAGGGAGAAGAAGTAGACTATCTAGTTTAAGATTTTAAAGTATCTAGGTTTTCCTAATGATTTTATTATAGTATCAATGGAGTCTGGATTATGTTATTGGGAGAAAGAAGCAATGATACTTTTGTGATTTGTGATTTGTTTTACTTTGTTGATACAGAAAAACTCACTTTCAGAGAAGTGGTATCTCCACAAGAATTCAAACAAGGAGAAGATGCAGAAGTGGTTTGCCGAGTTAGCAGTTCACCTGCGCCTGCTGTCAGCTGGTTGTATCATAATGAGGAAGTCACCGCTATTTCCGACAGTTAGTATTTTGGTAACTCCCTAAGTTATATGTTCTAATACTATTGCAGTTTTTAAAAATCTGAATCTTTGTGTCTAATTGTAGAAATTGGAATTTTTGACCCCAAATACTCAACAACTAGTTTGAGAACCTGTAAGCTCTACATTAGGATTTTTTAATTTAGGGGTCTCAGGGCAAATTCACTGCCCTTTACCCCTCCATTGTAATCAGAACACAGTTATGCCCATTTGCCACATACTATCTGTGGCAGCTTTGGAGGCAGAGTTGAGAAGCTGTGGCACAGTTGATTCAGCCTAAACAAATATACAATCATTAGTATCTGGAGGTTTACAGAAAAGGTTTTCTGACCTTTGCTCTAGTGTCAGGGAAAGATTTATATATTATAAGCAGTACTAAGTACATGAAGGAGTACATCCTGCTGTATTCAAATTCTATATAATTTATACATGATTCTATGGGATCACTATATGTAAACTTAATATCGATGTGAATTATGTTTATTATTCTGGGGCTGTACTTTCAAGGATACTTACCTGTTCTAAATATTATGGGAAGATCCGTATAGATAATAGAAATGTACATTCATTCAGATTGTCCTCATGATTTCGATTTAGACTGAGCTAAAATTTCAGAATAATATGACATCTGAAATCAAATGTATAATTTGCTTACATTATGTTCCTTTACCATGTGCGTAGGGAGTGTTTTCAATTTAGAATATTTCTCAATGCACCTGCATTGCAGAGAGGTACAAAATAATTGAATCTTTTAAAGTATTTTCCATCTTCGATGATTCTGATTTGTGTCCAAGATATGAAGATTCTACAGCATAAAGGAGAGATAGAAAATAGTATCTATTTTTGAATATGTGGGGAGAATGTATGATAATCATGTTCAATAGTCATTTTTTTAATTTTGAAAGAATATTTCTGAGCTTAGCATATTCAGTGCTTGTCAGTTTCCATTATAATACATTAATGAGAAATAACACTTTATTTCCTCTTGTTTCAGCATAACTCTGTAGAGTGTATTAACAAGTCATATGAGTAAATGGTTTTGATATATTTTTAGCTCTTTTCCCCTCAATAATAAAGAAAAAGCAGTGATTTTGTAATGGTGGAATGACAATGTCTAAATATTTTCAGATTGTCTAATCTTACAATCTGTAGGTTTATTGTAAACCTTTATTAATAGAATATTTTGAAGTAAATTTTATTTTTAAAAGGCATGTAGAGCAAAGCCTCAAAGCAAAGACTGATGACAACAGGAAGTGGTGATGGAGAAGTGATATTTCCATGCTGCAACTCATACATATTTCCACAGCATCCCAGGACTAAATGACGTACAGCCAAATTTCCATTTTGGCTTTCCTCCTTTCCTTGACCCTGAAGCTTTGAACATCTTTTCTAAATGTTCTGTGCCTAAATCAGACTCATTATCTGTTAAACATAGATGATTGCCTTCATTTAAAATAATGGCTTTGTGTCATAAATGAGACATTCGACATAAAGTTGTTTCTTGACATCTATGGGTGATTTGTTCCAGGACCTCCCACAGATACCAAAATAAGCTGATGCCAAAGTCTCTTATATAAAAAAGGATAGTATTTGATATAACCTGTGTATATGCTACCATATATTCAAAATTATATCTGGATTATTCGTAATATCAGATAAAACATAAAGACTATGTCCATGGTTGCTATACAGTATTATTTGGGAAATAATGACAAGGAATAGCCTGTACATGTTCGATAAAGATGCAGTTTAAAAATATATATTTTTCATCAGCAGTTGTTTGAATCCACATATGTGGAATCCATAGATAGGGGAGCCAGCTATACTTCATTTGTTAAGTGAATGAATAAAATAATTTGGCTATATGTTAGATTCTTAATAAATGACATACATCACTCTCATTCCTTCTCTATGAGTTTTTAAATCTTAGAATCAGTTTTGCTAAAATTACATGCATTTAGGTTATATCTAGAACCAGAAAATCCAATGTAGAAGAAATGGGTATAGTTTAACATGAAACATAACACTAAGTTGTGTGGCAGGTGAAAAAAAATAATAAAATAAATAAAATAGTATTTTTAACTATAGAATTTAAAGTATTCAAGTAAATTATCAGGAACAACACACTTCTCTAACCTTGTAATAGTGTAGAAACTTATCACATAACTCATTATTGAACAATTTGTACATTTATAATGGATTCATATGAAATAGTATTATTCACTGCTTATACCTCATATAGTCGCTTTATTAAAGCTAATGAAATAAGATCAAGATTACAATTATGTATGAGGATTTAGAATAATGCCACGGACCCAGATATCTTTTTTTTTGCTGTAATCTGATTCAAAAGTAAAATATAGATATTCCAGAGGAAACAATGAAAGCTTGGAAATGCTCATCTTATTAGCTATGCTTTTGATTGTAGCTGTGTGGCAGATATTCAGAATTAAATTTCCTGCCGAAAAGCAGTGGAGATTTTCCATGTTGCTCATAGAAAGGAGATTCATATTCTAAAGGAGCCAAGCATTGTGGGAGTAAAGATGACATTTTATTACACAAGTTGAATATCCTGACTTTTAGTGTCATCCTGATGGAAGGATATGCTATTTGCTGATAACAGTTCAACCTTGGCCTGTTTGGAAATTATCTCTTAAATTTTGTAAATGCTTTGGTCAACACCTAATTGATATACTCCTTCTGCATTAAAAAACATTAAAATTACCTTGTTCAATACAATTTTTATATAACCTACTTCTAGTATAAAATATTAATTCAACAATTATTGAATACATAGGATCTATTCTGTAGTGCACCAGATGTTTATGATTCATGGTAAGCAAGATAAGTTCACTGCCTTCAAAATACTAACCATCTAGAGGGAAAAATAAATAGGTAAATCAGTGTGAGAACAAGATGCATTAAGTCTATGATAACGAAATTGTGGTAATAAAGGATGATAAAATAAATGTAAACTACTTAGGATAAGAGAAAGTATCAAAGATGCCTGTCAGGAGGAAAAAGTTACCTTTATATATAGAGACACATATTAGCCAGGCAAACATCGGTGCAGAATTTTCAGGAAGAGAGAAGACCATGTGCAATGGCGCAGAGGTGAAAGGCAGCATAAAAGCATATTTCTGAAACTGGAATAAGTTTATTATTACTAGAACTTATTAATAAGTGCAATTTAAATACTTACACAAATGAGTAAATCTAGCTAAGATTTTTCAATAAAGGACTAATAAGAAAGGAAGCTGAAGAAGGAGGTCAAACCAAGTCAACACAGCCTTGATATCTGCTACAGAGTTTGTAATTTATTCAAAGGGGGCATCATTAAAGGGATTTAATCAATGCAGTGACATAACCTAATATGCAGTTGAGAAGAATATTTGTATGTCAGTGAAGAGAACAAATTAGATGGGAGACAAGGCAAAACTCCTGAGACTGAGAATAGTTCAGGTCATAATGAAATATTGCTGAGGGAGAAGAAGACTTAAATAAGGATGAACAGAGAAGTGATGAGACATGGAGTCTGATTGGGTGTTCAGACTCAGAGAGATGAAGATATCAAGAATGACTCGTGGAATTTGCCTTCCCTGGAGTTCCATCACTTACGGAATATTCCTTTGGCAACTAGTTCCATGTAAAGGCATGTGAAGACAGAACTGTCAAATGCCAGATGATAAATTTCAGGTGGAGATACTGAGCTAAATTTTAGATATACTGATATCGAGGTACTTAAATTCCTCCTAAGTATGTATATCTAGTAGACTGTTAAAAATGCTACGGAACTCACAGGAATGATCTGATCTGAAGAAAAATGGTGAGTCCTTAAGATACAGATGGTGATTGAAGCCATGTGGATAGATGAGACAAATCATTGAGTGGGCAGCTAATGAGGAAAAAAACAGGACTTAGAAATAACTAAGTTATTACAGGTGTGGTGGCTCACACCTGTAATCCCAGCACTCTGGGAGGCCGAGGGCGAATCATGAGGTCAGGAGATCCAGACCATCCTGGCTAACATGGTGAAACCCCATCTCTACCAAAAATACAGAAAAAAAATAATTAGCTGGGTGTGGTGGCCGGCGCCTGTAGTCCCAGCTACTTGGGAGGCTGAGGCAGGAGAATGACGTGAACCCGGGACGTGGAGCTT